GAGCAGGTAGGAGAACAGTAAATTTACTTCCAGTACTGACAAATGTATGCTCAGGGGTACCCTTGTCCTTAATTCTTTTCTTTGGCACTTGTGTGTAGTTCAGAGGTGAGAAACTTTTGTCCCTTCATCCTGTTTCAGAGGGTAGCTCCCATATTTCCCTTCCATTGATTTCTGATGGGTGGGGGATTCTGGGTGCTGTAGTTGACAAAGGGAACTATTTCAGGCTGTTTTGCCCAGCTAGGTCTTAACCTGACACTTTTGACTCATGAAAACAAAGCCTGTCTTCGCCCTCCCAAGTGCAAGAACAAAGCCCTCCAGTGCTCAATGTTGCGTTGCAGCAATGAGGACTAGAAACTTGTCCCTGTTTTTAAAAAAGAAAAGACAGCTCCTCTCTGTGCCTTGCACTACAATCTGTACGTTGTCCCTACTTTTATTTTCCATGCAGAGAAAAACAAACAAACCAGGGGACCTTTAAAAAAACAACAACGGCGCTACTATTTTGAGAAACATTTTCTGCATTTCATCTCATCGCATCCATTCCCAGATACACCAGGGACCCTGTTTGATGCTGTCTCAAGTGGGTTAGTATTTGGAGATTTGAAAATAAAACTGGGGGGGGGGAGTTAGGGGAAACTCCAGCCCTTCAAGGGATTGGTAGACTACGGCCACACTTCTGCGCCTCTCCAACCCAGAGAAGCTGTCCCACCACCTGCCCTAAATGATTTCTCCGGGATTTGGAAGCTGCCTGGCCTGGCAGGCCTGTTTTAGCTCTGGCGGCAGGCTGGAAAACAGAAAGAGCATTCAGGTATCTGGGTTGGAGCAGGATGGAGGCCATAGAGGTGGAGAGTCAGCCAGGTTAACCCTGGGCGTTCAGTGGCCTGAACGGAAAGATGGTGTTGGTACGTGACGTGCATCAAGGGGCTCGGTCACTGAGGGTTGGGAGGGCGAGGTGTGGAAGAACGAAGGGGAGACCGTAAGCGTGAGGTGCACCAGGAGGGTCCGAGAGGGGCTGCAAGGTGTTTTTTTTGTTGTTGTTGTTTGTTTTTTTGGATGGCACCTTGAACTGACTTCCGAGAGGCATCAACAATCCATTGATGATCGGTCACCACATTTGCCCCAAATTGAGTTCCTGCTGAGTTTTTGCAAAAGGCATTTTGTGGCTTCTGCTGGCGATGAAAGCGGGTGCAGCGACCAGGAAGGATCAGACCGAAGCGGAAAACCCCGACTAGCGTCGATCCTGCCCAAAGTTTGGAGATTGTCTTTATTTTGGACTTCAGTGGCCATAAATCGGCTCTCTGGCATGGCCGTAGGACGTGAAAGCTAGTTTCCCAGACCTGGCCCCTTCTCGGTATTTCTGAGAGCTCACAGGGCTCGGATGGAAGGCTCTGGGAGGAAATACAGGACCCTGTGCGTGCAATGGACTCCCAACAGCCATCATCCCTCACCTGTGGGTCTGCTCACTAGGGCAGATGATAGTTGCATCCATCAGCATCTTGGGGGGGAGTGAATGGGGTGAATATGTGGGGAGCCAGTGTGGTATAGTGCAGTGGCCCCCAACCTTGGGCATCCAGATGTTCTTGGACTACAACTCCCAGAAGCCTTCACCATCACCTCTGCTGGCCAGGATTTCTGGGAGTTGAAGTCCAAGAACATCTGGAGGCCCAAGA